AAGAATGTGGAAAATGTTTTAATAATTCACCCAATTCTAGAGTACATCAGCGCTCCCATTCAGGGGGGAGACCATATTTTTGTAATGAATGTGGGAAATGTTTCTGCCTCAGCAGTGATCTCGAAGAACTCCAGCAAATTCATACAGGAGAGAAACCCTATAAATGTGAAGAATGTGGGAGGAGTTTCAGCCAAATCGTAAACCTTATAATACATCAACAAATTCATTCAGGAGAAAAACCCTATGCAGACAAATAGTGTGGAAAATGTTTGAGTCATTCTTCAGCTTTTAAGATACATCAGCATTCAGGGGGGAGACCATATTTTTGTAATGAATGTGGGAAATGTTTCTGCCTCAGCAGTGATCTCGAAGAACACCAGCAAATTCATACAGGAGAGAAACCCTATAAATGTGAAGAATGTGGGAGGAGCTTCACCCAAAGCGGACACCTTATAATGCACCGACGAATTCATTCAGGAGAAAAACCCTATGCATGTAAAAAATGTGGGAAATGTTTCAGTCGTTCCTCAAATTTTAGAAGACATCAGCGCTCCCATTCAGGGAAGAAGCCATATTCTTGTAAAGAATGTGGGAAATGTTTCTGCCAGAGCAGTGATCTTCAAGTACACCAGCGAATTCATACGGGAGAGAAACCCTATAAGTGTAAAGAATGTGGGAAAGGATTCTGCCAGAGTAGTGATCTTCAAGTACACCAGAGAATTCATACCGGAGAGAAACCCTATAAGTGTAAAGAATGTGGAAAATGTTTCAGTCGTTCCTCAACTTTTAAAGTACATCAGCGCCGGCATTCAGGGGAGAAACCGTATTCTTGTAAGGAATGTGGGAAATGTTTCTGCCAGAGCAGTGATCTTCAAGTACACCAGCGAATTCATACGGGAGAGAAACCCCCTCAGTGCAATGAATGTGGCGAAAAGTTCAGCCAGAAGGCAAACCTTGTACATCCGCAAACTTATATGGGAGAGAAAACCTTATCACAGTTGGGTCAACCTTAAGAAAACATCATAAAGGAGAGAAACCTGTTCAGTTCAAAGAATGTAGGATGAGTTTGACCAAATACTCAAATGCCACACTACATCAACCAATTGACTCAGGAGAAAAACTCTATAAATGCAGAGAGTGTGGTAAAAATTTCAAGCAGCTCTCAGATTTTAAACTTCATCAACAATCACGTTCAGGGGAGAAATTGCATCATTGTAAAGAAGGGTGTGATATGTGTAACTCCCTGCCTTCTGTTCTGTGATTTTTAAAAAATATTTCACAACTAAGGTTTTGCTGAGATAGTTTTAACATGAGTCTAACTTTATCATTTTACAAAAATTGCCTTGAAATTGAAATAAAGATTTAAACTGGAAAAAGGTATCTTTGAATGAGCCATGATTATGCAGAAGGGAACCTGACAGGATGAGTGTGGGTAATTTTGAGCCTATTTGCATGAAAGATCGTGAAAAAGTATGTGTAAATTATAGCAACCCTAGAAGGATGTTCAGGTGTATGAGACATTTAAGGAGTGGTGTCCACATTACCAAAACACACTGTTGAAGAATAGGGAACAACCTACAAGCAGGATTAATAATATGACAATGAAAGAAGGACCTCGGAGCACTATGAAATTTTATAACGCCCAGTGGCGTCCACCCTCGTGCCCCTTTTGCTTGCTCAAGTCTCAGAGCACACGAAGGGATACAAACCTCACTCTCTTCACTTCCTGCCACCAGGTGATCTCTAAATCACCATTGCTTCAGGAAGATTCAGGTCCACGCTTCAAGTTTTTTTAAAAATAAACTTTGGTTTATTGATTACAGAGATTGTTTCATAAATATCAGGAGCTAATCACATCTCAGAATTTCCCACACTACACATTCTATTACACTCCCTGACTCTACTCTCACTGACTCAATATGACTTAATCTCACTTCTGACTCCACCTCTTATAGCATCTCTCTTGGCTCCGCCTCTCAGCAACATGAATATTCATAAACCATTACATAATACAACAAGAACCATAGATCTAATAAATGGAGAACGCCACACGCCCTTTGGTTGTTTGTGTCTGTGGTAGTCCATCTACAGTTGACCTTTATTCCTACAAGGGTTGATTCTAGTGTGAAACCATAAAACAACACCTTAATGTTGAAAAAAATGTGTCTCCATGAAGATGGAGGGAGCCGATGGCAGGGCTTAGTTTTTGAAGAACACGCAGTCTCTGTGTATGTTATCCTCTAGACACTCAGATGTCAAGGTTTCCCATCTGTTGAGGTCCATTCCTAAGGCCTTCAGATCCGCTTGCAGGTCTCCTTGTATCACAGCCACCAGGAGGCCATCAGCTCCACCCTC